GCAGGCTGAGAAGAAGCTCTTTGCCTGGCTCCGTTAAGCAGAAGGAGCTGCAGCCAGCTGTGGGCCTGGCAGTAGAGGTGGTATTTGGGGGCGGAGGGTGTGCCCGTGCTGGAATGGCACGTTCTTATCAGCCTTTCATCTGCAGCCGCTCTGATGTTCCATCTTCTGGCGTTTCTGCTTCTTTTGTGCTGTGTGCCTTTCAAGCTGGCTCCTTCAAAGCTGCTGCCAGCAGAGCGAACACCAGAGAAAAGTGCAGCCAAAACGGGGCTCAACATGCACACCGTCTTCTCAAAAAGAGGCCCTTACCTTCTCTATGGAGCATTTAGGATTCCTACATATCGATTTAAAAACACACAACTTGTATAGTTTTCTTTGTACATTGTGAGACGTTGGAGGAGGCTGAAGATAATTCAGGTTCTACTGACGGTGATTTATTTTTCCACCTATAAGTGAGAAAATCAGCACAGCAACAACTCTAAGGTCTATTTTGATTGTTTCAATCTGGCATGTCTGGTATCGGTCAATAGAGGAACAAAAAATAAAATCTGGCAGATAAAATAATAATTTAACATGTGGATCTGTAAATATTTTTCTAGTTTTCCTGTATAAATGAAACAGTCCAGATGTCAGCCACAAATCAAGTAATCTATAAGAAAACTAATTATTCCATAAATTAAGTGAAATGGTAAAGCAATATGTAAAAAAAGGCAATATGTAAAAAAAGCCATAGAAAGCCAAGAAACTATCTAGAATATGCCAGTATTTAGAAAACATTCCCCCTGGTCCAAATCAAAATCAGCTGGTTTAATATTCAAGATTGCATCCGACTCTTCACGCTCCAATCGGATTTTTTCCTGAAGTACAGGCTGCAACTGGAGGGTCCTTCCATGAACCACTGGACTTTCAACATCGAGTATTCCCAAGTGCATGTGTCTGTGTTTTAGTTTGCCACCATGTCTGTACACTGAACACACCGTGTTTGGAGGAAGAACATCAACCCAGAAACACCATGCTAACACTAGAGATTGCAGGTGGAAACACTAAGTGTGGGCTGTCCGACAGGTAATGGTTCTGGAAGGCCGTGTAAAATTAAAGAACTTAAACTGAATATCCCAGTCGGTCATCTATTGTATTTCCAATTAGAAAAGCAGATGAAGATCAGAGTGCAAAGCATCCCAAGAAACGTTCAGGTTAAAAACAGTTTGTGAGGAAGAATGAGTCAGCATCACATTGGAACAGTGACTGTATTAATTTACCAAAAAAGTATTTTCTAGGCTGTATTGCACCACATTTTTGTCAGTAAGTCCTCTACTCATTCTGTCATTCACATTTCTTAGCCATAGCTTCATTGTGGATTAAATTCCTTTGAGTTCTTTGTAAGAGTGGATTACTCGAGCTGTTGACGACATCTGGTATGAATTTCTTGTCAGTTGAAATATTAGAAACATATTGACTGAGAAAAACGTTGATGAGTTCATACCTTTTTTTTCCCCCACTGCAAGTAGCTACACAACACGATGAATCCTTGGCTTCATATCTGCTGACTGTAAGGAACCCATAACAATGTCATACTGGAATTTTGATGGAGCGGTACTTTTTCTAAGGACTTAGTTTTACAGTAATGCTAAGAAATGCAACATATCTGTCTGGAATGAGATGGAAAAAGTAGCACAAGCAGTAAAGTGATTAATAAATGCAAAAAAAGGAGCTGCCAGGTACTGCTGATCAAACTCCACACAATAATTCATCAGTAGTATATGCTGGCTCTTACAGTCTGTGCTAAAATCAAGCCAGAAAGACATGAGCATTGACCCACAGAGAAAAGTGAAAACCTTGTTTTTTCCAATCTTCAAGGAAGAGGACATCCCAACAGATTCATCTTAAAGGTCAGAGCATGCAATGCTCAAAGATATGACAAAAGACTGCAGGAGTTTCATCTCAGACGCTGCAGCCCTCAGTGGCATCCTAAATGGCAGAGTTCATGACCATAACATTCTGCTAATGAAGTTGTTCCCTTGAGTTTCCCTGAACTTCCTGCTGTTGAGTCTTTGCCTCACCAGAACTGTGTACCTCTTCATGCATCTTTCCAGGCGGTGAATTTGCACTGGAAACTTTGCGCTCGGTCTCCAAGTTCAAGTATGGAAATCTGAATGGCGGAAGTCTCTTTTAAAAGAAACAAATACGGCAGCACAACACGGGTTTGCAAAATTGCTTTTGAATGACGGCCAAATTTGAGGAATTTTCTTTGAACAGATGGGAACAAAGCTTAGCGGTTTGACGATAAAACAGAAACAGCGTATCAGTAAAATCAGCCCATCGGAAATGCAAAGCACGGTGGTGGAGGCTGGTGGTTTGGGCTTTGTGTGTGATTTACCAGTTAAATGTTATGCATTAGCAATACTGTGGCTTCAGTTTTGTTTTCTCTGCTTGTCCATCTGGGACTCATGGCTTGATGTGGCCGATGAATCAGAACAAGATATCACAAAAAGCAGGAACAGAGAATACAGACGATGCTCTGCTTGTTTGGGTTGTTGTTCCGAGTCGGAAAATGGAAAACAAATGTTTTTCCACACTTTTGTTTCCTTTTATGTCCCCAAACTTGCACATGCTAATAAAAAAAATTAATCTTGAGTTTTCCGAAATGAACATTTCAGTTTCTGCCTGGACAACTGAGAAAACACTTTTTGATTAGGACTAGAAAAATGAATGGTGACCGGTTGTTGTTTGAGCCAATCAAACGGATTTAAACTGTAATGAAGAAATGGAGACTCAACAGCACGTCCAAACGGAGCGGCCATCTGGTCCCAGATTTAGACTCGGCTTCTCTACTCGCTCATAAAAGTGAAACAAAAGAGTGTGTGGGTGGCCTCGGCGTATAATCTACCGTCCACAGGCCGCTACACTGCATTACCATATCTCTGCCTGAGCCACAAACCCAACGTCTTATTCTGAGATAGGAAAAACTCAAATGCTGACCTATCCAGCCCCCGTCTCCATGACGACAGCCAGATGTTGTGCACAGCACGTCAGCCGCCACCGTCCCCCACCACCACCAGCACCACTTCACATGCAAGCCTCGCCTGAGGGGGAGCAAAGGGAGGCATCTGTTCCCAGTTCACCCCGCGGCTGCAGAAAATATCCAAGGAGACACAAAGCCAGGCTGTGCGACAATACGGCCAAGAACACAGGAGCTTTCTGTCCAACCGTGCATCGACCAAACGTTTCTCCTGTCAGGTGTGCATAATGACACACCTTTCAGAGCAGTTTGTCGATTCTCCGTAATTGCTCGTGCAAATAAAAAGGAGCTGAAATTGTTCAGCACACATCTGTCCAGATGATGAATCACAGGCTGCAGTTTATTCCCACCCTGCAGAGAGACATGATTAACATTCCCCTTTGTGGACTGTAATTAGGCTTCCAAGCAGTAACAGTGATTATATGTACCCTCTCTCTCTCAACATGCAAGTCTTTATCCTTTAAAGCAAGTCAGAGCAGAGAACTGAAAAAACAAGAGGGAATCCAGGATGGATGGAGAACGTCCCAGAGGAACGCAGAGTCTCTTCCTTATTTCCATTTAAAGACAAGTTTTCATGTTTAATATGTTTGTATTTACAGTTAATGCTTAGACTGTGTCTTAATCACAGCAAATAAAGAACAACAAACAAAACAAAACAAAGGTCTTCGTCTTTATTTTGTCAAATCTGACAAGTCTGGGCTGGAATAAAGTCTTATACTGTTAGACTCTTAGACTGTTCGGTTTTCCAGGATGGTGCTTAACAGACAGGAGAAATTTGGACTAAATGGTGTCCAAATTTAGTCCTCAAGGGTCGGTGTACTGCAGGTTTTCGGTTCAACACACCTGATCCAAACGATGGTTCATTAGCAGAACCTCTGAAGAACTTTATAACATCCTGAGGAGGTAGTTGGCTCATTTGGATCTGCTGTGCTGGAGCAGAAACGCATGTAAAACTGGCAGAACACCAGATGAGTCCAACGGATGAGTCCAACGGAGAGCAACACACATGGCTAATTAACCAAACATGCAGGTTGTTGAGCTGCAGGACGAAGCAAAGAACCAATGAACGCATTGGGAGAACAGCCAGGATTCAAACCCAATACCTGCCAGCAACTAATCCAGGGTGCAATTTGGTTTTTCCATTAAACATAATAAGGTTGTTTTTCTCTCTTTCCTGACGTAATCAGGTCTAGAAAATGGCAATAACCAGTTATGCGTCACTCTGTTGTCCAGCTATAAAATCTTGCCACTTTTCCATGAAAAGCCAGGGAGTGCCGGGCCTGACGTTAAACGCATCAACAAGGACTTTGTTTGATTTTCAGGAAGAATCAAAGGTTAACAACTGGAGCTGCAGGAAAATATATAATCTGGTAATGATGAATGGTTGAGATGAACCCACATTCACCTGTCTGAACTTTAGCATCTCTGTCATTAAAACCAGTTGTAGAAACGCTTCTGATTCAATCTATTGTGCAGCTTTAAGGAGAAAATTGAAAAGAAATTGGTTCTGGTGTGAAAAAGAGCAATCGGTGCTTTCAGACAGAAGGATTTTGGAGGGAGTGTACAGGAATCCTGGTGGTTTAATCTGGTCTGTTGGGTTGGACATTTATAGCTCAGGCTGCTGAATGATAGCTGCTGTTTCCTGCATCATAACACACTGTTGCCCTTTTCCTGCCTCCTTCTGTGCTTTATGGTCACAACAGGGGCTGTAGCACTGACAGCCAAATCAAATGCCTAGATAAATATTTAAAGTCTCTTAAATTAAATATGAGTTAGGAAATACATATGACATAAGAATAAAGCTTCAAAATATGATCAGATGGGTTTAAATGGTTGCCTGACATGCAAAAAAAAAAAAAAAACCCAACCATGAGCTGTTTCTGGGTCTCACTTACTCATCTGCTGGGGATGAACTACCATTACAGGCAGAAAGAAGTAGGTCAGAGGGAGAGTTAGCGCCAGGTAGCCTGTCCCGTAACCTCACCTTAATGTCTGGGAGCATCTGCCTCACTTTGAACGTCGTTCTGGATCCCGTCAACATCTTTCTGGACCGTTTCAGAACCGACAACCAGGAAGAATCCAGGGGGGAAAGTGTGTGCTGTGTGGAGCTAATGGTTAGGGGTTAGCGTCCTGCTCCGTCCATCTGTTTGCAGCGGAGGAAACCCGGAGAAACGGCGCTGAATAGCGGCCACCACCAGCAGCAGCAGCAGCCCGCCTTCTCCTCCTCCTCCGGCTGAGGTCTTCGGTGTGAACAAGCCAACTGTTCCAGCTCTTTTCATCGCTTTCTGCGCGGACAGCATCTGCCTCTTCCACCGCACAGAGAGGAAATAAAGAAAACAAGAGCACACCCTGCCTGAGAGCGGCCACAACTCACTGAGCGTCGTCACTCCAGCCGAGAGACGTGTTCACGGTTCCGGCCGGGGCCCGTTCCGTTTTGTTTGTTTGTTCCTTCGCCACAGTGAAGCGGGGAGGACCGGAGCGGAACCGGGCTCTTAAAGAGACAGTGAGGCTGGACTGGGCTCTTCAGTCAGCGTTCACAGAAAAACCCGGCAGGAGTCTGGATATGCTTCTGAAAATCACGCTTCGGAGGTTCGCAGTCTTTCCCGACATTTGTAGAGTCCCTGAACTCACCATCAGTCAGGCGGTAGTAACTGCTGGTTACATTTACTTCAGTAACTATTTCTATTTAATGAGTCATTTTACTACACTGCACATTTTACTTTTACTTGAGTGATATTTACAGTAGGCTTCTCTTGAGTAAAACTCAATTTAAAAAATGTTTTATAAGTTTTTTGTTTGAAAAATAAAATGCTTAGTGAAGTTTCTTCTCTTTGAGTTTGTCTTTATTCAATTTAGTCTTTAAAATACCAAATGTTGCACATAACTCAGTATTTTTGTCGCATTATCTCCAAATATGACATCAGGTGTTATTACTTAATACTTATATGATGTAAGTAGCTTTTTAATTGTGTATATATACACAATGTTAATAAATATTTGATTTATCTGTTCATTTGGGATACTTGGTTGTCTGACTTTGAATTATTCTAAAAATATTGATTAAAATTCACTTGAATATTAAATATTCAATATTTATTTGAAGATTTTAATGTATTATCCACATTCATTTATAAACATTCCCTGTTATCAGAAAGTATTTCCAGATTTAGTTTTTTCTTGAGTCACTTCAAACAAAATTCACTGTTGCTTCAGACAGTTATGCACTAGAAGAAAAAACATTTAGATGACTAAAATAACACAACATACTCTGACCCTCCCCTTGAGCCTGTTCTCCATGTCTCGCATTGAATCAGTGAAATTTGAGCTTACATGTGCATCTGCGACAAACAGCAAAACAAAACAAACAAAATCAAAAAACAACTTGATTCCTGTCCAGTCAGCCAATAGATCATGTCTTTATTTTTTCATCTTTTAATTAATCACTTGATTAAAATGTGTCATTTCCACCAATTTAATGGTTAAAACTGGTGAGTTAGCCATTTTAAAATACGAGTTATCTGAGCATTTCAGTGTAAACATCTGGTACCAGCTGTGGAGCACAGCGGAGGAGTTCTGATGGTTTGGGCCTGTTTAGGCTCCAGCAGAACCATGACAGAAAATATGCAGCGTTCCCTGAAGAGAGAGGCGAGGATACGTTCACACAATGTTTTTAATGTAACCTTAAACAGCACTTTTCAAAAAGCAGACCAAATAAGCTTCAGCTAGATTCTCTTTGTACAGGATGTCCAAGTATTAATTTTTCAACATATTCTGCTTGTGTAAAACCAGACCCAGCCACAACTGGTATCTAAAGGAAATCATTGTTGTTATACAGGTATGAATGTCAAGAAACAAGGCCATCTTTTTCTATGCTACAGAAATGATCTTTACATTAGGAGAAAAAACAACAAATTATTATAATGTTCCATCTGCAGCCTGTTTTCTTACCTTACTGTGATCCTCAGACAAATCCGTGCAGGAATCTTGTCCCTCTCATTCACAGCAGTGCAAAGAACCAAGACTTCAGGCGTTTCAGGAAATCCTTCCCATGAAGAAAAGGGAAAGTTTGAGTAATCCTGAGCTCTGCTGAGCAGGTGAGGAGCTGGCGTCCCGGTCAACTAATATAGAGGTCTGGATTTTTTTTTAAACCACATGGGAAGCTGTTTAATATTGCATCAGGGTTTCCGATTTCTCTAATACATAAAACAGTCACAGACACAGGAGCGTGGATTATCTGAGCTGGGAGTTATTCACTAATGTATTATGCAGCAAGGTTAAGATAAAACAGAATGACACAGAGAGCAAATAAGAGAAAAGTTTCTCAATAAAAACACTTCCAGGTGATGCATTTCTTCAGAAATAGCTTAGGATTGAGATGAAAGCCAAACTGGAGAGTTTTTAACGTTTCTTAGTGGGAAGGAACAAGTTTGATTACAGCCACAAATTACTTTAATGTGGATTTCATTTACTTGTTTGCTTTATTAAAGGAGAAAACAACTTTTTTTTTATCTTAGTAAGTTGACTTTACAGCTAAACTTACTATTTATCCAATATTTAAATTTCAAGGTTTGTTTTGGATTAAACTGACAAAATGGAGCTACTCAACAAAAACAGAAGAGACGAAAGATCCTTGAAATACAATGAAAATTTATTCAAACGGTGCAAAAAAAATAATCATAATACCTAACATAAAATCTGATGTTCTTTCTATCCAGATTGCACTGTCAGACAGCCTTTTAGTGCTTCTTTTTTAAAATAAACCAAAAAACGAAAGATAGAAAAATCAAAACAGAACAAATTACAACAAAGAACAAAAATCAGGTTAAAGTAACGCACGAATTTGGTAAAATGGTTCGCCATTTACATGCAACAGTTCCAGTCCCATGCAGCTCAGAGGTTTTCCCCGTTTCCCCCAAATAAAAGATCATAGAAAAATATAATCAAGTCGACGGTGTTGCAAAGTAATGCAGAGCCATTTCTCTTCTTGTTCTGAGGAAATGAGCAGAGTCAAAAAAAACACAACAAAAGACAAAAAACTTGTTTAATTGAAGCACGGACTGATGGCTGCAGCATCAAAAATGAAACGTTCGCAAATTTAGAAAGCAACAAACAAAAGCCAGACTTCTAGACAATTAGCCAGAAAGAACATCCTAAATGATCTCAACTAAACTTCCCACAAGGAAACCTATTTGAAAGAACAAAAAAAAAAAAATCTCACTATAAATATATAGATATATTTATTCTCAAATTGTTTCGTCAGTATTAAGGAATTTTTTCTCATTGAGAGGAGCCTCAAGTATCAAAAAGGCCCATGTGGGGGTTTCCTTCAACAGCCAAACATTTCCGCCCCCAGATCCAGGCTATTTCCAAGCTTATTCTCAGAACTGTGGAAGTTTCCAACAAAATACATTCTTACCCTTTTAAAAACACTGTAAAACTTTGGGCTTACAAAAATAACTCGGAACATATTTATACAACCTCACAAGCGCTTCTGTCTGTTGTCTTAAATATATATATATATGTATATATATTTTAAAAAAAGGTTTGCAGGCTGTAAAAACTAAGTTTGGGAGATAATTATTACTTTGGAGGAAAGGAGAGAACAACAACAACAAAAAAAGTTCTTCTCCCCACCAAAAGATTTATTCCTGTGTATCAGTTAAAATCCTACATTTTCAACACATGCTGACACACATTCACACCGGCGACGGTTGTTTCGTTGTAAATTGAGCAGCTTTAGCAACATCTTGCTATTAAATAGTGTTTAAACAACACTAACAAAAACACACCTTATTATCATTTTATGGGGGTTTAGTGTTTGTATTAAGAGCAGCAGGGCAGAGTCAAAACGGAGTCCAGAAGGAAATCAAGACAGGAGCACCCTCTAGAGGGCAAGGCAGTGAATTGCATACTATTTTGTGCTTTTCTACCAAACTCAATGAGAGAAGACTGAATAAGCAGAGCAACTGGAGTCCAACATCATGGCTTCTTGTAGTGAAACGATAAAACAGCAAGACGCGAGAACCACAACAGTCTTGAACTCGAAGTAACAAGGAAGACTCAAATAAATGCACCCAATTATCAGCTTATTTCCAGCGCTTAACAGACATGACGAGGTGGTAACTTTCAAAGGGATTGATGCTAGTTTAAAATTGTGCAGTTATTTGCTTGGTTTAGCGGTCAGCAGTGAACTGGGAGGAAGCAGTTGGAATAAAAGCCTGCGGTTGGAGCCCCGTACTTCCAGGCGGCAGTGGCTGCAGAGACAGGGGTAACAAAAAATCCAGAAAACATCTGGAAAAGTGCTTGAAGGGAGGAGAATAAAACACCTCCAGCCTCTAAGTAAATTATCTGAGGTGGTTTTCATTTGACCTAAGCAAGGAGGAAACAGGAATTCTTAGAAATTCTGTATGATTTCAGAAAATCATTATATTTTTAGTTTAAGCTTTGGTAACCTTGTGTTAAACCCAGTGTCTGATTTATTTAGTGTTTGTTCTTCATTTGGTGCAAAGAGCATTTAAAACAGCCAGTGTAGCAGCTGACAGAAGAGTGAAAGCAGAAGGAAAACTTTCCCACACTTTGGAAATTCACCTGCAGCACCAGAAGTCGAACCGGAGCGCCGCTTCACGCATCGACGCGGCCACAATCCGATCCTTCCTGCAGCAGCTTTAAAAGTCAACACGTCTAAGTTCAGGCATGCCTTTTGTATGTTTTTGTTCCAGATATCCTGCGAGGAAAAAACTGCATCTGTCGAGAGTCAGGGGAAAAACCAACAACCTTTTTTTCTCTTCCAGAGTGGGTGAGTAGCGCCACAGATCTCAGCTGGTGCTATTGCTTTTATTTCCAGCGCCTTGTGCAAAAGTATCCAAACCCCTTCAGCTGGTTCCAGCTTCTGTCCCACTAAGACCAGAAACTTCTGTTCACTCTATTGGGATTTTATTGTGAAAGAGAACTAATTATGATCTGGAAGGAAAATAATGCATGATTTTCAATGTATTTGTATTCAGCCCTCCTTTCCTGTGATACAACTAAACCACACAACAATTACATTTAGCAACTGACGGTCCAGAAAATGAGATAATTAATCAGAGAACAGGCCAAGAGCTGACACGGCAACTCTGTTTACAGAAAAATGTGACCTTTATGGAAGCGTGGCATAAAGAAAGTCATCGTTTTATCTAATGGGGAAAAAAAACATACACAGCTGAACTCTGTCACTGTTAAACACAATGGTGGTGGTATGATGCTGTGGGAATGCTTTTCTTCAACAGAAACAGGAAGTTGATGGAAATAACAGCGCTACATACAAAGCAATCCTGGAGAGAGCATTGTTATTCTTGAAAGACTTAATCAACACATATTCCTACGTTAAAATGGCCTAGTCAAAGCCTGGACCTGACTCGAACTGTTCATCCCAACTGATT